CCCCCAAACACAACCCAACACCAACCCCAACACAACACAACACAGCACAAAGAAAAAAGACAAGCCGACCTCCCTTCCAGGTGTGATTAAAGCAGCTCTGCAACGAAGTTCCACCCTTGCTGGAAATTGGGTCCAGCCTCCCAGTATAAGAAACCAAAGCCGAGCACATAACAGACCAAACCAGCAGCTCCTGCATTAGGGTGCTACTAGTGGGGCTATTTGCTTTTGCTCCCTCGTGTTATCCAAACTACCCAAACTACTAGCTTTACCAACCGGCAGCGGCTCCAGTGGCCTGACAACCTTAGTCATACCTAGCTGAAATACTTGATTAGCAAGCATTCAGTTGCCAGATTGTTGCTTCCCTAAGTAGAACTGAGTGGGCTGGCCTGCCCCCAAAACGGAATGGGATAGCAAGGGGAATGCAAAGGGACTAATAGACAAGGAGAGGGCGGGGGAGGAGGAGAGGGGGAGGGGGAGGGGGAGGAGAGGAGCCTGCCGGAAGGATAAGGGGAAAGGGAACGAGGGAGAGGGTAGTCAGGAGAGAAACAGGTGGAGCCGGGGTTCCAGGGGGGGAAGCACCAGGCAGAAGGGGTAAGGGGGCTTTTGAGGGGCAGCTGACCACAAAGTGGTCAGAATTGATGCGGAGAGTGGAACCTCTCCCACATCCCAATGTCTTATCACCATCCTATACCAGGACTGGTCTCATTGAATCGCCCAGGAGTTTGGACAAGTTGGCCATTCTGTCTCTCAGAGTTTATAGTGGACACCATCCCCCATCCCAATTTATCTTACCACCGTACTTTACCAAGATGTCTCATTGAATCACCCAGGAGTTGGACGAGTTGGCCATTCTCTCTCTCAGTGTTCTAGTGGAGACCTTCCCCCATCTGAATTTGCCTTACCGCCATCCTTTATGTTACATACTCGTGAAAATGTCAACGAGTATGGGGCAGAACCAAAGATCAACCAATATAGGATGAGCATGTATGCAGCGGAAGTCTGATAACGGACTGATTCACACAGATATCACTCCACACACATACAATCGTGAGATGGTGGGGTCTGAGCCATACATGGAAGATGCTCAGGCCCCGTACACACATACACAGATGAAAGGTGGACAGCACCGAAGGTCACCGAAATAGAATCCGATAGGTCACCGATATGGTAGTCCAAAATGTCATCAAACAAGATCAAAATGTCGAGGACAATAAGTCACCAATGTCGGAGATACAGAGTCCAAATGTAACCGGTGTCCGAACTGTGATGCCGCCGAGTATCAACCCCAACTATCTCCAAGTCTCGAATCCGGTAAGTACCACAGCCTCATACCACCAAAGTCCAACACTGATCTCTGTCCAACTAGTATGAAGTCTCCAATCTGAAGAAGAAGAAGAAGAAGTCTGAAGAAGAAGAAGAAGAAGTCTGAAGAAGAAGAAGAAGAAAAAGAGTCGAGGAGGAGAGAGAGAGAGAGGGGACTGGCGATGGGAGGGAGGAGAGAACCTCCGACTCCCGATACCTCAGGCCGCTACGGCCGCCGATCTTGCTCAGTCGCCGCTGCTGCTGCTCTGCTCGCTGCTGCTGCTGCGCTACCGCTGCCGCTGCTGCTCCTCGTGCTCCTGCGCTAAGTATAGCGCTAGCGCTCTGGCGCTAACCATAACGCAC